TAAAACAACTAGATTATTAACTTGTCATTCCTAGAAGAAATATAAAAGGTTTAATTAAATAAGACTTTTCTGTTCTCGTACCTGATCGCCAATTTTTAGAGGAACAACATCACCAACTACAATATCAAATATAGAAACTTGTATCCTTTTACCACCTCTGACCACCTGAAATATCAGACGTCACCCCTTTTAACAACTACAACAAAGTTACACATATCAAAATAAAGCTATCCAATTTATTGAAAGAAATCTTAAATATGGTAGCACAAACCTCCACTTTTATATTACGCTTCTCCTCATTCAGGTTTTGAAATTGAAGTGATTGTTTATAATCACTGACAGCTAAAGAAATAGGTACAAATAGGGGGAAAACAAGAAGCAGAGTGAGTGAAAGTCACAGATGTATAACAAACCCATATTGACAATATTATGCATTCACGTTTGATGAAGAAGAAAGGAAAATACCATTCCATGTCGAAAATAGACCCATCAAAATTAAGGTCAGTAGACGCAACACAAAAGAGATATATCTAGTTGTTCTCACAGGAAAATATAAGAAAAGAAAAGAAAAGAAAAGAGATATACCTAGTAGTATTACTACTACTAAACTGAATGCACTGATGACTGTTATTCATGTAGTTCCAAAGCAAAACTTGAAAACAAGAAGAAAGCATTTCAAATTTGCAGCTAAACAAGAATGCTTAGGTTTGGTACAATCACATAAGATGAGCCAGTAAGAGAACATGGCTAATCCTTTATTAAAAGTGATTTAACAATTTTCAAAACCAAAGAACGCTTTCTAAGCCTGCCTTCATGTCAGTTTCTCATCTCTAGATCACTTCCCAAAAAAATAACCCTATAAATGTTTGAGTGTATTGTCTTAATTAAGGCATAACATAAGCTTTCTTCTTTTTTGATACTGTAGGAGGGTGTGAATAAATGCCTAAACATGAAAAGTAATGAGACAAATGTTTATTTTGACGCTCAAGAGTTACCATCAAGTTTGGATGGTCTTCGCATCAAACTTTCACTTTGAAGTTGTATTAGCAAATCATTCCAAAAGTCACTGAAGCCCTACTCTACATTGTTTCTACAGACAAGAAGTGAATTGCACAAGTGATCCATGGATTATTTCAAGTAAAACATATCTATATATGTTTTTCAGCCATAAAAAATAAATCAAACTAAAAAAAAGTGTCCTTGCAATTGGAGGAACTTATTATCTGCCAGATTTTGTCCTTTCTGTATTTTCTCTGGTGCTCCACTTTTCCCGCGCGCGCCAGGAGGAGTGGTGTTTGCATAGTTTTGGATGCTTATGAAAGCTTTATTGTGTTTTGGGGGGTTTCTGGGAAAATTTTGGATATTTAGTGAACAAAGTTCAAGGGGGTTTTGTGTCAAATGCCCCAAAGTTTGGGGATTGTGATATTTGCCCTTATATTTAATTCTAAGGAAGAACAGAAATAACAAGAGCCAAATAGCATACAATTCCCTGGAAAACAAGGAGACTTAAATAGTATCATTACAAAAAGTTAAATCACTAATGGTAACTGTAATGAATAATCGAGGTTATTAATTTACCAACATAACACCAGCTAAAAAAGTACAATGTTTTAGGATATATAAGAACTCTGGTGAGTAAAGTGATCCAAAGAAAAAAAACCTAGATGAAGTTTCTGGAGAAGCTTCTGCAAGCCAAGGAAAATGTTCCCAGGTGGTCATAATTACTATCAAATAAAAATCTGTGGTACAAAGCATGTCTGCACCAACCAAAATAGACAGGTCCAAAACAGACCATCATGACCGTGTCTACTGGGATTATACTACAAATTAGCTGTTGTTTTATATGAACAATACCCCTTGTGAGTTACATATAGATTCGTTCAAAAGAAATATACAATTTGTTCATAAGAAATATACAATTTCAGTTGTGTTCTCATTGCTGGATTTTGGGCAACTGCCATGTCTGATGCCACATCTTTGTATCAGAGTAATACAGACCTTCATGAGTCATGACTATCTCTATTAATCATAGTTAAAAAGTAATATCTTATTCTCATTACAAACAAAAGAAGAAAAGGTGTGCAACATGAATTTAGTCGGGGGAAATATAATATTTGCAGAAGAGAAAAGCTAATGAAAATGAGTACTATATATATCAAAAGACGCATCTTACAAACATTACCTGTAACCGTGATCACAATAAAAACAGCAAAAGCAATGCTGCCACCATCATACCATCCCTCTTTCAAACCCTAACAAGACAAAATGGAGTATTATGAAAAACGAGAGAGAGTAAGTTTAATGTGTATGCATAAAAACTGATATTCAGACAACCTTTTCAACATGCAACATAAAGGCATAAACTATAGCAGAGCATGTATGTAAACTAATAATTACAATACAATAACACAACATAAAGACAAAAGATCCACAGAAACATAACCTACAGAACTAGGACTAGTGTCACTGTGAATACTATCTGGGAAATAAACAAGCAAGCAAAAGACTGAGACTAGAAAAACATCATAGGGTAAAATTCACCTCAGTCTTTATGCCCAATATCAAAGATATAATAGCAGCACCAATTAGGATGACAAGGGTTAGATCTTGGCAAGCTTCCCATAAGAAAACCTAAAGCATAAAAAAAATGTATAAATTGACAGCATAGCAAAAGCATGGTTGAATATAAACTGACTGTAAGGACAAATGATACCAAAAATGATCTTCCTTTATTCTGAGGATATGTGTTAGCTCCAAATGCTTTTTTCCTATTTAATAGGTCTGCGTCATCTCCACTAATTCCCCTATCAGTGTCAGTCTTCAAAAAGTTTGCAAGCCCTTTGACCTACAACATGACAACTGTCAATAACATATAATGAAGACTGAAGTATATAAATTAAAATACTTACCCCTCCATATTCTTGTAAAGAAGTAAAATCATGATCTCTTGTTAGTGTTGTGAGATGTTCAACCCCAACTGGAAAATCATCAGTAGGACCAGCAGATGTTCTTCCAATAAGACCTGTTACAAGTGGAAGATGCATTTATTGAAGAAAATATACAAAGCTCAAAGCTCCAAGCAGTGCCACATGCACACAGGACACAAGTACAAGTACTGAATACAGAAGGTCTTAAAGAGTAGAATAAAGGGACATGTTTATAGTTATGGGAACACATGTAGTTGGCACACTGGTACACATTATTGATCTCATATTGAGTTCACTTTTTTATCACTAGTTGTCACACGCACGCCCACAGACAACTATAATCCCATATTCAACGATGCAATAGGCTCTTATTAACACTTTGTACAAATATCATTGCACAGAAAAGAAACACGATATGAGTCTGGATGACTTAGGAGTTTTGGAAGTTAAAAAAAGACAGCAGCTACTGAAATTTCTCATTTCTATCATTCATTTATGGGCACCTACATACAACAAATTTTCTAATTCTCTTTTCATTTGGAAAAAAAAAACGAATCCGAGCAAATGATACACGGATGTGCGTATGTTTTGTCATGTATAAGTCACAAGACTCTCCAAGTGACTTGTCATGTTTTGAGAAAATTTGACAGGACAAAATCTGTAAAATCAAGTGTCCTGATAACACTGGCTTCAAGAGAAAATGTAAAGCCAACAACAATATAAGCAAAAGCAAGACCAACCATAGTCACGTATTGATGCGAGCAATAAAAACCTTACTTTTTTGTTGACTAAACAAGCCAGAATTATACCTACATCTAAGACAGAAAAACAAAATAAAATTGAAAATCGATGAGCACGATAAGCAATTATATGAAGAAAACTTTCCCTGATGAAGATAGGCACCCCCCCCCCTTCCAACCCCACTCCAGGACACAACAAATCTATTTTCCAATACTCACAGGTAAGTAAATTGTACTCGCATAAAATGTTTAAGATGGAATTTGTTATACCCAATTTTGATGGAAGTTATTTTTTAGATCATTTTACTAAAGTTGGGTGTCACTATATATTAACAACAGCCCAAGACATATACTCTATGAGTTCCATATACAATGTTCACAAAATATATATGCTTATACAGTTGTGCACTTGTGTTTGCATAGTGGGCACTACCATGTCTGTCACCCTGTGTCCATGCCAGACGACAATCCTAACCATCTCTATAGATCATAGGAATAAAGTATGAAGAAACTGAAACAAAAACCAACGACTACCCCAAATCACATAAACCGAATCATCTGCGTACTTTCTAATCAGATAGGTCAGCTACAAGCACATCTTTAAATTATGAAGGCTTTGTGAAAAGACTGTTGATGTATCTATTTAGCCATCAGCATGTCGAACGCTTTGAACTGGTATCAAAATCATGGTTACAACTATAAATAAAATAGTCCATGCAATTCAAATTCATGACGTCACAGAGCAAATTAATTAAACATATCTAGATCAAGAAGATGAGATGTCAAGAAGATGATTAGGAAAGACATTAAGATGTTTAATAAGGAACTCATTCATGAGACAATATTTAAGCAAAGTCTCAACTGAAACCCTAACTTATAAGATCAAAGGCATGGTTGACAAAGTTTCATGAATTTGTGGCAGAGTTGACACAACTAGTCAGAAAGAAAGTTCCAAAGTACCAGGTTTATCTCTTTCCCCATTTTCCCCTGCCTCCTTGAAAAGCAGTGCTGCCTGGAAAAAATTAGAACTAAGAACAACAATAGGAATAAAAAGCATTCAAAGAAAAACTTATATAAATTACACCAAACCATAGAAAATAGTACCCGAATAACTTGAGCATGTGCTCGAATCTTCCTCCTCAGTGTCTCTTTTTCTTCCTCCCTTTTTAAGTCCAGTGTATATCTAAATCGGCGAGAAGCATTGAGCACAAGTGCTGCTTGCTGTCAGAAGGCAAAAGTAAACAATAATTGGAATTAATATTTGGCTTAAGCCTAAAATTAGAAAAGGAAATATTTTAGTATAGAAGAATAAATTTTGGTCTGATGAGTGATGATGGCAAGATAAAAACACAGTTTTGATATTGCTGTTTTTTCATACAAACTATAACAAATATAATTATGAGTCTGTGACAATATCGATAGCCATAGCCATGATCACAAGTAGGTCTGGACTATTCCGTAGACCTAAGGAGTACCCCATAAATTAATCTTCACTTGACTACACATCCGGATTTAAAGCAAGCTCTTGGGTTCTCTCATTACAAGGGATCATAAGATTTTTCTTCTATATGCCTACACCAAGTAGTAACTTCTCCTTACCTTATACTAGCGTAATCCCTACACCCTTGTTGAAGGAGGATAACCTTCTAACCTCTAGCCCTAGTATTTAGTAGGGATTCAGGAGCTGGGCAAATTGTAAGGTAAGGGAAGAGACCCACAAAGGTTGACGATATAATTAATTTTCTTGATGTGCTCAATCTTCAACTGACTTCCTCCTGATAGGGTCCCTTCTAGTTTTCATAAAAAAAGAAAAGTCAGCATTTCATTCTTTTTCATTATTGTTGATATTTTATTTTTTTGTAGGGGCTTGACATGCATATCACTCATCAATTTCTTCTAAAATGGTCTCCTCCTCCTATAACTCACATCAGTCTTACTCAAGGTGTCAAAATGGAATAAGGGATTATTAAGAATTGTTTAAGACGCAAAGAAACAGACTGGTTACCCCTATTCATGCGTTGGCTATTAGAAGTTGCAGATGAATTCACTAAGTTTATAAGATACACATGAATATTATTTACTTCGACCACCATCTACAACACCAAAGGCTATATTGTCTGTGCAGGTCCTCACTTGCTCGCAGACAATCAAAATAGCTCTTTTCTACACGTTGGACAGATCCTATAATGTTCCCGTGACTTCACAAACCCTGTCACTTTAGACCAAACTCAATTTTCAAATTCTGGCTTATATTCGTTCGTAAGATTTCATCGTTCCATCCTGGGTCATGGTATACTCTATTCTGTCTTGGGATTCCTATGCTGTGCTCTGTCCCTTTGTAGAAACAAGTCAACGGACATTGAGGATCATGCTTATGAAATCCAAAAGGTTCTTCCAATAGTCTACTATCTCACTCTTCACTCACCGCCATATGTAGCTCATGCTCAGATTTTCATAATGTTAAGGTGGTGCTTGCTTGGCATTACATAGTGATAAGCACATTGAGTGGCTTTTAAATGTTCGTTAAAGATTGTTTAGAAGATATGATTTGGAAGTTCAAGTTGTTATTTGTTATTGTCTGATTTCTTATCAGAAAATATTGAGATCTGATTAGTTATATTCAGATTCATTGAATCTATACCTTATTGCAACTATAAATAGCTTCTCGAGCTTCTCCAATAACTGATCAATAAGAACCATCTCTCTCTTATTTTGCATGGTATCAGAGCAGGTTTTGAAGGTCTATAATATCTCTTAAACTCTAATCCTCAGGGCTGCCAACGGGGTCATCCCAAGTGCTATCGGCGTGCATTCCCCTCGGTGGCTACGTCAACGTCATCAAGCCCCCGATTTCTCACGCTTTCCTTCTTGACGGCTGCTCTCCATTGTGAGAATCTATTTGTGGTCACCATCCACCAAACTCACTGCCATAAGCTCCACCTAGTCGTCATCCTTGAGAAGACAAAATCTAGTCATCGGCCTCCTCTTCTCACACGCGGTCCTGTAGGCTCTCTTCTTGCACCACCTCGCCGATCTCATTTTCTCACACGTATTTCCATGGTCACTTTATTCTTGCACGTGGCTGTATTCACCTCTTCTCACGTGCAACCTCATCAAAATTCTTTTTGTGTGTAATCTCATCAGGCTTCTTTTCTCGCACGAAGTCTTATCGGTCTCGACGTTCGTGTCTCATGTTTAATCAACATCATCTCCAAAGCTTTTCCATACATTTATCAGCAAGCTCGGCTTCGGCAATATCTACGTTGGAGCTTGCGGGTGAGTGCTAGAGATTGTTAGAAGATACGAGTTGGAAGCTCAAGTTGGTATTCGTTATTATCTGATTTTGTTATCAAACTATTTTGAGATCTGATTAGTTATGTTCAGATTCATAGAATTTGTACCTTACTGTAACTATAGATAGGTTCTCAGGCTTCTCTAGTAATTGATCAATATGAACTATCTTCCTCTTATTTTACAATGTTTGCAAAATTAACAAGGCTCAAAACCATGTTGTGCTAGCTTCATTTACAGCCATCATTCCTAAAAAAAATTGGCTATGCTTTCGTATCTCCCTCTTATGCAACATCAGGACCTGACAGGTTTTTCGAGTGGAGTCCTAAATTGTGTTAAATAATGATGATTGGTGTAGAGAACTGTGCTTTCCACATTGGATTGATGAATCCCCATTCCTCTGGATTGCTCAACAACAATGCATTGTAACTGTAACAGATAAATCCTCAACCTATTCACAATGTACTGCATTCCTTCAACAATCAAGTTCAAACAAACCCTAGGGCGCACTAAAATCCACCAAAATTCGACATCACAACAGAATGCACTTAAACCTACAGTTCAGTCCTAACTCAAATCAAAAAACTATAAAAAAAATAACCCAATTAATCGACTACAACTCACCCTCCACCGCCTGAGGCTCTCAACGGGCGCGTTCTTGGGAGGTATATCAAACGTATCGTCCTCCTCCCCCGCCGTGCAGATCTCGCCATCGTCCCCTTCGCCGCCGTTCCATTCAATCGCAGGAGAGATGACGACGCAAATTAAAATTCTGGCGAACAAACCCTAGCGTCAGCAGGCCGTTTAGGGTTCTAGAGAGAGAAAGAGGAGAGAGAAACTCAAACCTTTTTGTAGTCCTCTGTGCTTTCTTTGAGAACTCCTCCGCGTTTCTCCTCACTCGTTTTTTTCCTCGCTCTTTCGTTTCTCTCACCCGTTTTAGATTTATGTTTCTTGATTTTTGGTTTGATTGGTTTTTTTTATTTTTATTTTTTTTTCTCGCTCGGTTTTTTCCTCCATAACTGAGTCACGCGGGAAGCTGCCACGAAGTTTCCTGCATGGACTATAAATAGTAAAGGGAACAATTCTCTTATTTAATTTCTTATAATAAATGGCGGAGAGAGTGGAGCGACTGCAAAGGGTAAATGGAATCGATTGATAGAATTTTCAATTGGAGATTTTAGGAGATGGGGGCATAAGAGATGAATTTTTCAAACAAATTGACTTATTATTTGTGTTAGAAGATTAACGCATTAGTTTCGTTTCAAATTAAATGCCCATTTGTTTCCTTAACAGTTTTTTTTTTTAAAATAGTTCATATTTTCTACATTTGAACCTCTAATCATCCGAAATAGGAGTCAAGTTAAGCAACTGAAAAACTTTATCAACTTTATTTATATGACGGTACCAAACTAGGGGATCCTCTTAGTTTTAGAAAAGTAGGGGGAAAAATAGTGTTTATGATCTTTAAATTTATAAATAAAAGAGGATTATAAATTTAGAGAATATAAGGAATAAGAAATTTTATAGACGATCAGGTTATTTTCTAAGGGTCGTCCTTATGCTCCATTGACGGTACAAGCAATTATTGATCTAGAAGATTGTCGAAGTCGTCTTTTTTTGACAAAGAAATGTCGAAGTTAGCCTAATTCTGATCTTCTATCTATATCCTTGATAATGCTTAAAAAATTAGAACTATTCCCTTCTCTTATAGGCTAAAAAAGAGAATTAGTTGTCATTAAATGTGGCTTAGTAACCATTAACTTAGAGATAATGAGCTGAACCATTGTCTTATAAAGTAGCATGCTTAACGGCTCTAGGCGAAGTTCACAAATGACAGTCATATGCGAAGTTCGCTCTAGCAAGCTTCACCATAATGTGGGATGTGGTCCGCAGGGGCTATTTGCATGGAAGCTCATTCTAGACGAACTTCGCTTGAAGCGTCGCGTTGACTTGGTCTTGAGAATGAGATTCGTTATGACTTGCATTTGGGCTATTTTGATCTGATTATGTGTTCAACCGATGCGTGTTTACTTCTTAAGCTCATATTTGGCTCAAGTATCAGATTTATATTATATGTACTAAGTATTAGTTCAGGAGAGAGCTTTGTGTAATTTGACCGTCTATCAATAGTTACATAGATTCTTTTATTGTGCATAAATAAATTTTTGTTCATTTAAAAATGCCCCATCGCAAGTAGATTTTTTTTTGTTCATTTAAAAATGTCCAATCCCATGTCATTTTTTCTTTCCTGTTTATATGTTATTTTTGGTTCTTAGAACAAAGAGCTTATAGTAGTCTTTTAACTCGGGACTTCCCACAGAGGAATCAATAAAGCTTTAGGATCTTCAATGCTATATATTATGTTTATTTCAAAAAAAAAGTTTGACTAATTTAAGAACTAATAGAGTTTGTTATTAAACTACTTATTAACGAAAAACAATCATATAGAGGGCATAATACAAAATCATATAAGTTACATTTGTCATCAGGCTAAATCAGGAGCTAAGAATGTTTAACTTGTCATTACCCTCCTTTTTTAGAATGCTTAACTTGTAACAAATATTAATGCCGAGAAAGAAATTCTCATAGGTAGAAGTTTTATTTATTTTCTTTAAAAAACACATTATCTATGGAATATTTTAGAAGCAATAAAATATTAGATCTATATTTTAAACCGTTGTTATCATCTGTATCTTATCAATAATTTGAATTTGTGGTAGTATTTTGGTAAATTGTCTATCCTTAATTTTTTTTGATAAAGTATTATCTCTTTAATGCTTGAGTTCATGCTAAAATGATGTATTACTTCTTAAAATAAGGATTATTATCTTTTTCACACGATATATCCATAACTTATTTTTGTCAAAACAAATTTATTTGTATTTTCCTACTCAGTCATGATCCACATGTTTGTTCACCAAATTTTGTGTTTGTGTGTGGTTGATAGCAATGTTGGGCTTGGTATAACTTATAAGCTTCACTACATTACTTTCCATTCAATGTGGTTTTTAATTTACGAGTATTTGTATTAAAATAATGTTAGGGGCACACCCCCTAACACACCACCAACCACACCCCCCTCTCCCATCGCTACAGTAAACCGGGCCCCACATGGGATTTTAAAAATTTTAAAATCTCATGTGAAGCCCGGTTTACTGTAGCGCTAGGAGAGGGGGGTGTGGTTGGTGGTGTGGTAGGGGGTGTGCCCCTAACACCACTCTTTGTATTATTCTTTTTCATTCGTTAAAAGTTCGATTAATGAAGGGATAATCATCACTCCCATAGTCCCATATAATGTTCTAAATTCGATCGTAAAATTACCCATTTTAGGTGCACACATTCTAGATGCACAACGGAAATATCAAATTGGGTGTGAATGAGTCTATCCTAATTCTAGTATTAAAAAAGAAGTCCCTACTAAAATTTTGTTCTTTACGGATCTTGAAAAATTATTTCATACAATTTGGATTTTACTAGCTAGCTGCTGCCACCTACTAAAGATTATGATAGTGATGGAGACAACTTCATGGCGAGCAACACCCATCCATACTCAACTTATTTTTGGTGACAAAAGATAGTTGTCAGGCGTGCGATGCATGTGATTTCATATTAATTTTGTGTGCATACGTTAGGACCTTTGGGAAATAAGGAAAGATAATATTAAGATTTTGTGGAAAGGGAGATAACAAATTAATGGTTTACAAGAATTGAGAAAAAAATAAAGATTTCCAAAAAGCGAAGAGAGTGAATTAAGTCTTTGAGATGGGATGATAGAAAAAGACACTATTAATTATTAACTATTAGAGCCCTCGGAGTATAGTATTAATTAACGGATTGATTCTATTCTCATATTATTATATATGCACATATATTGTTCTCCCTTTTTATCTCAGAAATAAAATTATTTGGTTGCACGTCATAGAAAGGAAAACTAGATCTTGTGCGGTTGGTACTCGATACTAAATGTGAAACCTTTATGTGACATGTGATATTTAACATTAACTAGTTTCAAGCCCGTGCGATGCACGAATTACTCTAAAATACAAAAATTGATGTAGCAAAATAATACAAAATAAAACGGTAATAATATGTAAGCAGTCAGAAATGATACAATCTAAGCTGCATATATGTTTGACTTAATATTAAACTGTTAAAAAGAATGAAAATATAACTCTCATATTCTCATAACAAAGCTGCTTAAAATGTCTAATGTCTTTATGATTAATGTCATAATATTTTGTTGTAGCAAGTAATTAGTATGAAACATAATTTTTAGTTTCAAACAAAATATTCAAAGCACATAGAGATACATGTCAATTATATATATTTGAATGAAAATAATAACTATCAATATATTGATAAACCAAATATCCAGCATAATATAATCATATCAAATATTTAGGTTTATCAACCCAAAACCACCAAAATAACCTGCACTGATTACAAAAGCTTACTAAATATGTATTCATACAAGAATACTAAATATAAGTTTCATACATCATAAATCAGACAGGTTTTTTCCTTCAAAATGTAGCTTCTACTCTCCGTAGAATCTAGTAATTATCTTTTTCAATTTTGATATGTTTTTCCTTTTTGTTGCTTGACATTTGCGGAGAGATCAAGTCCACTGAAACAGATTGCTCGACATCAGATTCGAACAAATTTCTCTTGCAAGGTGTAATGTTATCCGAGGAACAAATTTCAACTTCTGTATTGTCACAAGTGACAGATAAAGAGACCTGTGTTTCATTATTATAAAATAAAATAATAGTTAGCATGTTAATGAGGTGGTAGGAATAGATTGTTCTACAATTAATGTGAAGAATTAAGAAATCATAAGTAAGGTGGAAAGAAGTTGGCAATACAGAGGATTTTTATGCAAAGTGTCAAAAGTTAATTAGAAGCTTTAATAATTTGATAATGGATCAATGACAAATAGAACATAAGACACAAATAATGTTAACTAAACTTAAATCTTTTATTTGATGTCAAAACTTCTAAAACTCAAATGGTTAAAAAATCTTGCATTGCTAAAATTCATTGTACTCATATGTTAGATAAGAATCTAACAATATATAATGCATTCTTTTAAAAAATCTAACATTAAATTTATATTATACACATTTTGGGGAAATATACTGTAGCAATTACATGTCGACTCCTAATGATTTAGAATGAAAAAATATTACTAATACATTGCTCAACTTTATTTATATATGCAGAGTGATACATGAAATGAATACATACGTAGCTTTATAAAAGAAGAAAATATGTAATGTACCTGGTTCAAATCTAAGCTGTCTTTGAAAGCTGCTATCAGATTTTTATCATTTCTTTTGAACTTATGTGTCATATACTCTAGCTTGGAAGGTTTGCGATAGGGGAATGCGAGCCTAATAGTTGTCAGCCGTGCGATGCATGTGATTTCATATTAATTTTGTGTGCATACATTAGGACCTTTGGGAAATAAGGAAAGATAATATTAAGATTTTGTGGAAAGGGAGATAACAAATTAATGGTTTACAAGAATTGAGAAAAAAAAAATAAAGATTTCCAAAAAGCGAAGAGAGTGAATTAAGTCTTTGAGATGGGATGATAGAAAAAGACACTATTAATTATTAACTATTAGAGCCCTCGGAGTATAGTATTAATTAATGGATTGATTCTATTCTCATATTATCATATATATTATCTCAGGAATAAAATTATTTGGTTGCACGTCATAGAAAGGAAAACTAGATCTTGTGCGGTTGGTACTCGATACTAAATGTGAAACCTTTATGTGACATGTGATATTTACATTAATTCTCTTTAGCACAGCAGCAGAAACCGATTAAATATTCACATCAATCTTTTGATGGTGCTGGTATTCCCCCCCTTTTTTTTTTGTTTTTTCTTTTCTTAACTTTTATCATTTGGTTAGTACTCCGAAATAGCTGTTTGCTTTCTTCATATGCATTTGTCGTGTACGTTGAATTGGATGCTTTTTTGTTTGTTTCTCCAGTCACGATGGACTTTATGAGGTCATTCCATGTGATCTCGATGAAAAAATTGCAGCTAATTAATGCTCAAGTTCAGTGATTTTTTTAAAAGGGAAGGGGGAAAATTATTTAAATACAAGAAATACTATCGTTTTGCTAGTAAACCTGCGGTGGAATTGGGCCCGATAGCCGCAGCGGGCCTGGGCTGTCCCAAGCCCATGGTACAGGCTATACGCCTAGGCCTGCGCCTAGGCAGGGCCGTGAGATTTTAGTTTCATGTTATTTTTAAATGGTTAAAAAAGCATTAAAATTTGAAACTAGAATTAAAAAATTATCACCACGGGATATTAATTAAAGAGATTAAACTAGACAATTTTTAAAAGTTAAGACTTTAAATGGTTAAAAAAACATTAAAATTTCGAGTTTTTAATCCGGCTCGGTCAGGACCGGATCTGGAGGTGACTTCGGTTCAGATCTCTAATCTGTGTCTGGTTACAAGCCGAGTTTAAGCCGCTCGAAGGCATTCTTCAAATTCGGGCTCGGTACATTTTGGGCTGGCAAAAAGCCCATATAGTGTAAGTCCGCTGGATCGAGTTTTGCGATTCGGTCGCTGCGGTCCGACCCGGTCCTAAGTTGGGTATGTCAAATTCTCAGCATATGAAAGTTGTTCATCAAGAAAATGGATTCACATCCATTACGTCAAGCGGTATCTTAAATTCTTGGACGTTGAGGATAAGTATTTTTACATATGCCGATGAGTGACACATAGTAGTGTGAGGTTACAAGTACAACATAAATTGGAAATAAAGCTGCATATTATACCGTTTCAATTTCATAGGTACGTAGCCAGTTAGCCACTTGCTTGTAGACCTCCCACAATGTACGTTGTGCACTTAATTATTATTATTTATATATTTATCATGTTTTTTAAAAAAAAAAGAAAAATGGTACAGACACACCCCAGGCACACCTTGTGCCACACCCCTTCCCAGCTACAGTGCACGGGGCTCACACATGAGAGATTATTTAATTTCATGTGTGGGCCCCGTACACTGTAGCTGAGAGAAGGGGTGTGGCACAAGGTGTGCCTGAGGGTGTGCCTGTAGTGCTACCCTTAAAAAAATTCTTTGGAAGAGTTGTCTTAATTTAATATTATCTTGCTTATTTGATGCAGCTCGCTAAGAAAGCTAATTTTTGATTGGCTTGTTAATTCTTGCCCTTAGTTTTCAAATCCAAGAGGAACAAATTAATTAGTGGATGCTTAGTTGCTTACAAAGTTACAAATATATTTAAAATTGCAGGAGCTTGTGAAATCCAACAGCGAAGGAGACTTCGGGGACAACTTTTCTAATGACAGTTGACACTCCCCCTGCTGGTAGTCTTCAGGTTTCCTGATGCAGTCTCGTTCTCCCCTCTCCTTTTTGGATGCAGCTCCATTCTCTCAGTCCCATAGTTGTAGTCTCGTATTTGTATGTTTTTTGTTGTCTGGTTTATTCAGCTTCAAACAGCTTCTGTGTCAACTCTGATGTGGTGAGTTTACGTTTTTTGTTTTTTTTGGGGCGTTGGTCGATGGTTTTTAAGTATAGAGTAGTTTTGGGTAGGTGACGACACGGTCCGCTCCTTACCCTCCTGTTGGTCGATGGTTTTTAAGTATAGAGTAGTTTTGGGTAGGTGACGACACGGTCCGCTCCTTACCCTCCTCCTCTCTACTTAGAATCTTGTCATGGTAGTTTTGGGTAGGTGACGACACGGTCCGCTCCTTACCCTCCTCCTCTCTACTTAGAATCTTGTCATGCTCCTTTTGAGTCTTTCCCCTCTTTCCCCTTGTTAACCCCTTCGTTTATATATATATATATATATATGAACAGGGTATCTCACCCTGTTTTTCAGTTCAAAAAAAGTTGTTTTTCAGTTCAAAAAAGTTACAAATATATTTGGTTTTGTATTGTATTCTCTTGCAGAACAAGAGTTTCTTCGATGTTATGCTGCATACGTAAACTGCATATTATAGAAGAAAATTGTTGAAAAGAATTAGTAGCTGGGTAGGGAGAGCAGATCGTACCTGTCCTATGCAAGACAAAAAAGAGTTACCAGTAATAATACGAATAAAAACATGCGATTCCATCAAGTGCCTCGTCACATGATTCTTCAAGGGAATTTTCTAGAGGTAACTTAGCTCAAAGCAGTCTAGAGAGTTCGTCTTAATTCAGTAGTAGAGTCCATGCTAGAATGAGAGAAATTTTAGAACTTAGATAAGATAAACCAAAGTAAAGGTTCTAATAGCACGAATAATATTAAATTATTACAATTTATCTCATATTGACATATTCCGTCACGCCCTGAGCCTATACGGGCACGTTGGCGCATGTAAGCCGTCAGTCCATGGAGAGCAATTCGCGTGCGTGGGTTGGCTAAATCCACTTTGTCAAAATACTAACACTAGTTACTCTTAGGCCTTGGGTTTTTTTCTATTTAAACCACTAATATTTCTTCACACTAGTATATGTGGGACTAAAGTGTGGGGTGTCACAATCATCCCACCTTACAAAGACGACGTCCTCATCTTCACGACATGACAATTGGCACATCCAGTGTCACTACAAGGCGATGTGGACTCTAGAGATGGTTCATACGCGCTCTATAGATGGCCTCACCGCATCAATGTGATGTAGCACTTAACCCCGTATAGCACTTAGCTCCACACTTCTGGCTAATAACTACTCTGATACCACTTGTTACCCCCCGGGCCTACGGGCTCGTTGGCGCGTGCAATTCGTCAGTCCACAGAGAGCAACTCGCGGGCTGACTAAATCCACTTTGTCAAAATGCTAACACAAGTTACTCTTGGGTCTTAAACTTTTTTCTATTCAAACCATTAACATTTCTTCACACTAGTCCATATGAGACTAAAGTGTAGGGTGTCACATATGAATAGTTTGATGATGATTTGACTTATGTAATTTTGTTATAAAGTTCGATGTAGAAAATATATCATAAAATTTGACAATTAAATTTATTCTTACACAATTTTATTAGATGGTTTTCTTATATGCGGTTAATATAATTGGAACTAAAATAAAAAATTTAAATATTGCTATTTAATTATATAAGTATTCTCATTTCATGATGTAGAATGATCTAGAAATAACACTAGTAAAAAAATGAACAAATTAGACGGAATTTTTTTCCATCTAGTTTGAGGCAAACTAGACGGAAAAAATTCTGTCTACTTTGTTCCGTCTAGTTTGAGTCAATCTAGATGGAAATTTCCGTCTAAATTGACAAACTAGACGGTTTTTATTTTTTTAAATGGGCACTCAACCTAGACGGAATTTCTGTCTAGATTGATGTAACCTAGACGAAAATTCCGTCTAGGTTGCCTGCAAAAAATTAACGAAACCTCCCGCCTATTTTTTCATTTCCTCGCCTATTTTTTCATTTTCTCAGTCTCTTTTTTCTCCTTTTTCCATCTAAAAACCCCCAAACGGGCCAAACCCTCTCTCTCTACAAACCCCCAAATCTCTATCTCTCTCTCTCATCTCCACGGCACCCGCTCACCAAAACCTCCAGATCTCCCTCAACCCCGACGGATCCCTCTCCCGCCGCGCCGAGATCCCCCTCACCCCCCTCCACCTCACCGCCAGCGCCGCCTCATCCAGGGACACCCCTCTCCCAGCCGCAACACCCTCCCCCGCCTCTAACCTCCCAACCTCAACCCTAGCCCCGAAGCCTCCTCCGTCATCCCCTCTATCTCTCCATGGCCGGGATTCGTCGCTCATTTCCGCGCCTGCTTCCAAGCCCCTCATCCACCACCTCTCTCGTTGCTTGTTCGCCACTCTCGGACCCTCGTCCTCCGTCGCATATACCTCGCCGCCGAGTACCGGCCTCCTGCCGCCTAACAGCAACCGGCGTCGACGCCCTCCTCTTCCTCCGCAACCAGGCCCTCAGCCCGACCGACCCCTGGCTTGGATCCTGCATGGACTTCTCAAACGTCTCCATCATGGGCTACAGCGTCGGCAGCAACATCGCCTTCCACCTCGGCTTCCGCTCAGTGGACCTTACTAACCGGTTGAAGCGAGAAAGAAATCCGCTTGAAGCAAGGTATTTGTTTTTATTTCTCTTGCCAAAACCCCAAAATCACCACTCTGTCCTCGCCACCCCCGCTCAGACTTTGTCGTCGTTCAGATCTCGCTAAATAATTCACTTTTACATAGCAAGCTTCATTTTCTCCTTCTTTTTATGCTAAATATTTTGCAAATGAATGTGTTATGATTGGAATTCATCAGAATGTTGCGTGTTGTGTGTAAAGCAAGATTTGGAAATGTTATTGCATGATAGCCTAATGTATTAGATTTTAAGTGTGCCATCTGATCCATTCATAACTTGGCGTTTTGCCTCCTTCTAGGTATGA